GTAACGCCCTTGAGCTGGCATACTGATATTTCTAGTGCTTTAATCTTACAGTTTGCATGGTGATCAGAGTAGTGGCAGAGTCTTGTGGGGGACAGGTTTTTTATCTACATTTCCAAATTGGAACAAAAGCACTCAATCTTATTCTAACAAACGCCGGAACGACATGGACCTATTTCGAATTACTTTGCTTACTTTTCACATATGCTTGCCTAATGGTGAATTCGAATGACCAAACTTACACAGCTGGAAGCTCCGGCGAATTTGGATGCTCGTTTTTGCAATTTTAATTTGAAGACCCTTTTGTTGAAATTGCACAATTAAAATGTGAAATCGCATGCTTCTAATGTGAAATTGATTTGTGTATTTAGGTAATTGAATGTTGATCTCAACGTGCATTCAAATTCGTGCGAAAATGGGTGATTGATCGCCAATTTCCGAATTTTCCTAATCATTTTGATTAACAGCCATTCAATTTCTCGAGGTTTTTACACATGTGATCAAATTGGGGTTTCTTTTTTGTTTTGGGGCATTCGATTACAATTCTTAGACACCAAGATTTTGCTCCGAAAATTGATTTCGTTTTTGTTTTGGGGAATTCTATTTCGTTTTGAAGCATTCAATACTTACTTAGTAGAATTTCTTAAATTTAGTCTTTGAAATCTTTTGACGGTTGACGTATGACTCATTCAACCAAGCGAGTGTTGGTGCTCTCATAGCGTAACACCATGCTTTTCGTGTCTTTTTCGTGTAAGGGCAATCACGTGTAAGGGCAATCACGAAAAGAGAAGTCGTCGTAGTATTAGACTACACGTAACGCGAGAAACCATTTTGCACACTTATGGTTGCAGACCAGTAAATCGGTCTGAAATTGCCTACGCCGGCCCAATCACGATTTGCATGCCCTCAAAATCTTTAGTATTTGAGCATATTGTGGGCCATGAACTGGAGGGTTTGTAAAAATTATGGGTGGAAGCCGTGCACAGGACTGTGAGCTTGTAGTTCCGTTCAATTTGGATGAAATTGGGGCCCTAAAAGCGCTCTATTTTGCAATGGAATGTAGGCATCGTTTTTCGAAATGCCGATGGGCTTCAGGACTATTTTAAGGGTTGATCATCTTCGGATGGAAATTTCTTCTAAAAGTCATCAGTTGACCCCCGTAAATTAAAAAGAAAATGAAAGATGATGAAATAAGCTTTAATTTGATGTGTGTCTCGAATACCGTGGAGAGTTGTGAGTATTTTTCCCGAATTTCTGAGTGGGAGCATTTATCATTGGGGTCAATGGAAGTTTATTTACTGCTCTGGAACCTTTATACGACGGCTTGCACGGTGGCTGTAAGCTCAAACAGCGCTGGTTTTCGGAACTGTACAACTCATTTATGATTGACTACACTACATTGAAAAAATCCTAGATTGGGTTTCCCAAATTTTTTGTCACCATTACATTCCAGCGTAATTAACCATGGCTACAGCGCCTGATGTTAAAGTAGAACCACTCGCAGCTGATTTTTGCATTGAAATGGTACATTTAGCTTATTTCAATTTTCAACACTGTGGGCTCCAAAACTGGATAGGTGGCGTTTTTCTGCTAGAAGCTTCGGCAGTTTCCAGGAAGTCTTCTATTTATTTGGTAAGCCTCGGCAGTTGCGAGCAAAGCTTAATTTTAAATTAGTAGGCCTCAGCAGTAGCATGCAATTTTTTATTACTTATAAAGCCTCGGCAGGAGAAGGCCAACTTTATCATATACAACCTCGGCAAGTACTTGGTGGAAGTTTATTAAATTTTAATCATACCACCATAAACCCTCCGACTAGACATGGACACCTTGTCAGCCTACCTGACGAATCGGCGCCTAAAGCTCAGCGAGGGGGAAACGGTCTCAGCAACATTCCACCTGAACAACAGCAAGGCCAAACGAGAGCTGGATCTCCACAATAGACGACTGACCTTCCAGTTCAGTCCAACATACCTTGGAGTGGAGTGAGACAGGTCTCTCACCTACCAAAAACATCAGGCAGGCCTGCGTGACAAGGTCACAGCACGTGGAGCACTGACACCGCCTCACAGGCACAGGTTGGGGAGCCAGCGTCTCTACACTACGCACTTCCGCCCTGGCCCTACTTCTACGCTCCAGGTAGACAAGAGCCTAAACAACACACTCCGTGTCATAACTAGCTGACTGCGACCAACCCCAAGCGTAACAGCTCCCAGTTCTAGCAGGAATGTAACCAGGTGCCCTGAGAAGGAAAACCCAAGTTATGGTATTGGCTCGCCGTGCGCTCAACCAAGACCACCAATACTCCATCAGGTCATCACTGAAGAAGCTGGACAACCCCGACTCAAGACATCCAGTCGCACCAGAGGGAACAGTCACTGCTGCCACAGGCACGCACCAAGATAACAACATTCCAACGGACTGCCAACAAATGGTCGCAGCAGTGGCACCTGTCATCATCGCCCCTGAAGAACTACATCTCCAAGCCATTGAAGTCCTCTCCTGGCTCACCTTTCCTGGCACATATGGCTGAAGCTAAACCGCCTGCGAATTGGAGTGGTACGTTTCAATTTCAATATGTACACATGGGGATTCACATCAAGCCTGGCATGCGACTGTGGAGCAGAAGAACAGACGACGAACGTAATCATCAAGGAGTGCTCTCTTCATCAACCACATAATGGAGCACAATGTTTGGCTAATTTTGAAGTTCCCACACAAGATTGGCTGCCAAATACCAAGAGTAAGATCTAAGTCTACACCCCTGTTTGCAGCTTACGAAAGAAGATGGAATTATGTAAATATCATGAGGAGCATGGGTTGACATCCTATTTTCTAAGCAGTGTGAATATGCTTTTTCTGTTGATCAGGTCAGAGGCTTTTGTCAGACCGATACAGGCGATGTATAGTGGTCATCCCTGCTTACGGCATGTGCCCCGCTGTTGGCTAGGGGGAAATATCATGAACAGTTTACATCTTCAAGTTCTTAATTCGAGTTGTGATTCAGATTACACGCCAACAGTAGCCTTAGACCATCCCTAGGTTTGATTTTGTAGAGGGTTGGTGATGCTCGAATCAAGAAGTTCCTTTGGTATGTCCCTTGTTCAAAACAGTGACACGTACATAATTCCGTAGATCTTCCTGTTGGACAGGAGACCTCAGACAGGTGTCATTTGCCCCTGGAGCTTAATTGCAATATGTACACATGGAGCTTAATTGCTACAATTAAGGGATTCGACGTCATTGTTAAGTTCCTCCATTAATGGCACGTCGTCGAAATAACCCGTGACAGGAATGCTTTTGCTCTTCATTTTCTCGATTCTTGCATTAGCGACGATGCTAAAGATAGCATCGTAGTCGTTGGTCCATCTCTCCTACGTACTGGCTTCGGGATAATCCAGGAGGCTTGCTCGATAGAATCATTGAAGCTTTCATACAAGTCAGGGTGAGGCATTCTTGTTCTTTTTCAAGTGTGGAAGCCAAGCCAGTACTAATGTTGGATTAGTCATGGACAGAGCCCCGCTTTGACTGCTTGACCAATGAGTGGGTTATTTACAAGGTCCTTCTGACTACAAGATATAGCTGGTCCCAATGATGAGACAGTCTTCTAGCAGCCGAGGTGCAAATAGGCCAGGAGTCGTGATAAAAATTCCAACGGAGCATTGACGTTTCCTATGAGATTTATGTGCTCTGTGGCAGTTGATACGTTTCTGGTGGCAGTGTCCAGAATGATCACTGTTAAACCTCTTCAACTCTGCACTGAAGAGCAAACTAAAGAGCAGTGTCTCTGTCGTCAGTTCATAATGGAGGACAAAAACAATTTGTCTGCGAAGCCAATGCCGTGCTGTCGTGGCTTTTTCCTCGTGCTATCCGTGACTGCTATCTAAAGGTAATCTATATTCTTCAATATTGAATGCAATGATGAGGATGCATTCTTTGAGCTCACGTTCAATGATGATTGTCGTAGAATCGTAGACTAGTTCATCACAGAGACCAGGATGCATTTTTTCTGACGTTCCAGCTTGATAGAGAAAAACTGGTGTACCAAGCACCCACATTAAATATGCTGAGTAAGGCTTCACGTTCTATCCAATCTATCCACTAGACATACTACTGCCTTTAAGTGGAGTGGGAGAGGGTTGACCAATAGAAGTGAGCAGAGGCAGTCTGTAGCACACAGATCCAATGCCAATATAGGCGTGGGCTGTTGCTTGCATGTACCGCTGTGCGCATTTTTATTTTTGACGTTACAAAAAGTACAACCTCTCAAGGACGGACGTTTGACATATGTTGTGGAGATTGTTTGTTGCCCAGTCAATCAGTCATCACATTCCCCCTTTCAACCTCGCGGGACGAACCATAGGAGGACAGAGTATTGTACCATGTAGGCTGCAGGATGTGCGGAAAGGTTTCGAGTGCGTGCACCAGACCGCCTTATAGGCCCCTCTTCGCAAATGTGACAGGTTTACTCCTTAGCCTTATCCTCTTCCCATCTTACAAGACAATGAGGGGTTGTAAGGAAAATTGCTCTTGTTGGCTGCTTGCCTTCCAAAGCTATCGAGTTATACCTACCCGAATACGGGATCAGCGTCATCCTCATAGGTAAGATTTAAACCAAAGAAGAACGACTTCCCCATACTTTGGTCTTTGGGAGGGTAATGTTGAGATGCTTTCCTAGGAATGTGATATTGGCACCGGATATAACTTTGGCAAAATGCATGATCATTCCTGTTAAATAACAAAGAGCTGGACAAGGTGGTGTGCCTTTAGCCCAGGCCTTCAATAGTAAGAGGCTCTGGAATTTCATACCTTATGAAAACTACCTAAACAGTCAACATTTCCTGATGTTTAACAGCATATTCAGGCCTTCCGCATTTAATGTCTTTGTCACATTTAAAATTAGTATTTGGTAGATCGATTTTATTTCCAACATGAAAGTTAATCAGTGAACAGGGTTGGGGGTGTTATCTCAGAAGTTTCTTGGAGACGGCATTCCCTTTTTGGTCATGAAAGGCGTCTTCAAACAGTTCCTGCTGCTTTGGATGTTGCATTCCATTTTCATCAGTGTCATTGGCCTGTTAACTGGAAAAGACCTAGTGGTCATCCTGGCTTACCTGGCTGAAGCAGGTAGCTGATACCGTCCAGCTGTTCCCAGCGATTGTTTGTCCCTTGCTTCTGACCTGGGAGTTTGGAGGTCACTTCGGTCCTCTGAGGGGATGGTGGCGGTGGCGGTAGCGGTAGTAAACAACCTCAAAATTACCTGATGCAATAATTCAATCATCAATTTCTTTCAGGCATGCGCGTTGAAATCGGAGTCTCATATCCGATTGCAGGGGCAAAAAATGTGGTCTAGAGCTTATACTTGACATACCTAGTTATTTGCTTGGAAATCTGAATGGCCCAACATTTTCTGATATATTACATGTACTTCGACCATGTAAACTACCTGAAATAACCTGATGTGTTATTCAATTATGCTATATGTTTTACACATGCGCGGTGAGGTCAGAGTCTATATCCGATTGTAGGGGCAAAACATGGTGTCTAGATATTCGATACCACTATTAACTCTGCTTGCAAATCGCTATGAATGACCTTTGTATTCCGTTGTGTTCTCTTGTTAATAGCGATGTACTGTGAAATAGGCCAGGAGCCGGACCCCGCCTCCCAAAACAGGTACCGTTGGGTTATCCCGGTAAAGGATCCCTGTCAGTGCACTGAGGTCCGTGTCGGCTCACTCAACACTCGGGCCCCCTGCAGACCGTTCGATATCAAGTATTATGACACCTTTCTGCACAGCAGCAACCAAACAGAGATTCGAAAATGGCTGAATTGTTCCGGTGAGTCCAACTTCAAAGTAAAAGTGTTTCAGAAATATGAGTTGTTGCTGGACCCGAAGAGCAAATCTTCTGTCCTCTGAGTCTCTGGCTGAGTAATTGGCTGAATAATTGACTGAGCAGCTGACTGACTTAGCCTCTGACCGACTGAGTAACTGACTGGTGCCATAAACTGCCTCAAACTGAACATTTACGACTTTGTCTTGGTCTAGGTAAACCAAAAGCAATACGACATATAACAGAAGCCTAAAGCCTAAATATCCTGAAGCCTGAAGCCACGGCCCTAAAGTACAAACCTTGCAATCTAAAGCTTGAAGCCAAATGCCTCAAGTGTAGCTCACGACCGATTACAGTTTGATTGATGTGAAGTAAACATTAAACAGAATGAGGTCCCTATGACATGTCCTGTCCGTTAGCATATTTACCCAAATTGCAGTTTGATTGCCGTGGAGTCAACATACGGCAAAACAAGGAACCCTCCCTGAGTTGTTTGGCTGAGATTGTCCAGCTAAAAGACTGACTAACTAAATCTGTCCAGCTGAGACTGACCGCTGACTGCGGTCGAACTATCCCATGCAAATCGACTATTATGGTGCATGTTCTTGTGTTGTAACGTGTTGAAACAAAAAAGTTTGATTTTGTTGCGTTAATTGTTGATTGAGTTGTGTTGTGATATTTTGTGACGAGTTGTTACGGGCTAGCTAGCTGTAATGTATTTTGGTGTAACTTTGTATTATTTTTGACAGTGTCGTGTTTCAACATGTAATTTGTTGTGTTACTGCGAATTGTGATTCGCGTTGTGTCGTAACCTGATATGTTGTGTTTGGTTAGGTTCTGTTCTGCTTTCTCTTACCCCAACGTCCAAAACATGCCTTGATTAAGTCCTCCATAATCTTTGACAGAGCCACCAACTCCATGTGCAAATGGCACTATGCAAAACCCAGCCACCTCATGCAGTGAGATACTGGAGGTCTGTAAACAGTCACCCAGCGGTGTGTACTACCTCCTCGGAGCTAGAAATAAACAGGTGACAGAAATAGAAAGCAATTTACAATAAGGGTCCCAAAATGAATGTTATGTAAATTTCTGTTTACAATTTCCGTACCTTTTTCTGATAGGTGAGGCGGTCTTGTTGTAGCGTCACTTCAGGAAAATACTCTACAGTGACATTCTGTAAATGAAATGAACCCAAAGTAAGGCTCACTTGGGTTGTTTGTACACATGTTTGCACGTTTACTGTCTTTCAAGTGTAAAAATTAACAAAGAAATATCATAAAGTAGAAAAATTACCACAGCTAAAAACCACAAAATCTGGCATCTTTTGATTATTGAAGTAGCCTCAATCATGAACATATAAGTTATACTAGCATAACCCCCCCCAAAAAAAACCCCAAGAAAACAAAACAACTTGGAAAAAGGGGGAAAAAAACCCGAAACACCTTAGAAGTGGCAATGCGAAGTCCAAAAATGAGGGTTAATTGGACCAAAAGATGCATTTTAAAAGATTATATTGTCACCGACACCACGAAGTAACACTCATGCACATACCGGTAAAAATTAGCAATCGGAGAAAACGGCATCTAAAGTTGAACGCCTTCTAGAACAACACTTTGCGTCAAAACTACAGAGCATTTTCAGTTGAGTTTCTCGTTGTAGACACTTGATGTATTGCTGTTATTAAATTTGCTGTTTTTGACCCGTTTGTGTACTAAAACAACAAGAAATAAGAGAAAAAAGATGTATTCTAGTTCGTGAAACCAAAAAAGCTGCGAAACTGTAAAATTTCGTTTTCACGAAGTAGCACGCTTTAATGTATAACAACACTAGAAGAGGGTTACTTCGTGGAAACGGAGGTCAGCGCGCTCAAACAACTAGAGTGTTACTTCGTGAAAACGATTTTGCTCGCATTTGAGCAGAGTGCGCGACATGCAATGGTAAATGGAACTTGAGTGTTACTTCGTGAAAACAAAAATTGTCACTTTTGCGCGAAAGTTGCCATGGATACTTAGCGTAATTATTAAAGTTAACATCTTGCAGCTTTGAAACTTCGTGCAATGGTAGGCCTTGATGAATAATGTTTAAAAATCCAAAAAAATGAAAATCGAAAAAATATGGTTTAACACGGTAGAGTGTTACTTCGTGGTGTCGGTGACGATATGTTTGGTTTGGCAGAATTAATATAACACTTCTTTGCTGAACAATCTTTAAATCTTTACAAAAAAATGCACAAACCTTGATAGCCGGAAAGACGGTATCAGGGGCGAATCCAGGAATTTTCGCGGGGGGGGGGGGGGGGGTTCATCAGCCAAAATAGAGGGGGGGGGGGCCTGGTACCATATTTCAATAGGGGGTGCTTTTCAAATTTGAAGATTATTAACACTAAATTACAGAATGGTGTACCGTAGTTTGAACAGGCGGACATTTTACCAGTATAACTTTTTGGGGGGTGTCACCAGAGGGGGGGGGGGGAGTTCGACTTATTTTTTAGGAATTTGTATGATCATTGTTTTTTTTTGGACAGAACTGGGGGGGGGGGGGGTGACCCCCCACCCCCCTCTGGAACCGCGCCTGGGTATAGCAGTTACTCCAGAAGCATGAATTTCACTTCTTCTTGGAAACACAAACTATATCGAGGTCACCCACAGCCAACACTTGGTTCACTCATATCCAGGGATCCGTGTACATACCGTCCAATCAATTAACTTTTTAAAATCGTCAAAAGAAACAAGAAAAAAGGAACCCTTTACCGTTTACCGTTTTTTAATCTTTGTAAAGAAAAAGAAAACGCGTTTATTCAAAGCCGGTAAAATTAAAAAAAAAAACACCGGTAATTGGTGAAGGATTTGTTTCTCCTTAAACGGTAAAACAAATGTTTTTCTGTTTTACTTTTCACAGATGCATAAACAGTAATTGGAAAACGATTTGCTTTGTTTTTTTCTTTACAAAGATTAAAAAACGGTAATCAGTAAACGGTTCATTTTTCCTTTTTCTTTTGACGATTTTAAAACGGTAATTGATTGGACAGTATGTACCGCGTCGACCATCTTTATTGTATCGGCCGACATGCATTGCTTATCCCAGCGTGTACATGGGACAAATTACTTTTCTGCAACAAAACGGTAATTTATTCGACAGTATGTACACGGATCTCTAGGGTAAGGTAATGTTTACTTCCTGACAACTATACTACCTCCAGACGATTAAGTTGCCAAAACCTGACAGGCGCACTATAATCTGATTTCCTTGGCCGCAGTATCCCGTGTACTGTGAGATGCCTGGCGGCTGGGCACGCTTCGGAAAAGGCAACATGCAGTCGGTCTGGAACTACGAAGGCGAAGATGAGGCAGAAATCAATCTCGGTATCATCTCCGATGATGAGATTGAAGCTATCAAGAACTTACCCTTCAGTAACTTCACGATCCGCACCGATGTGACTTTTTCTGTACAAGCCGACGACTCCAAGAACCCATCTACCGTGCACGCCCTCTATCTGCCCTCGCTCCAGACTGTTTCTATCAACCTCCCGATGGATAAATCCAACGATAACACTCGGCTACGGTTTAAAGAAGAAGGTAACCATCGCATTGGAGTCAAAAAAAATCAATTCGATTGCAATGCTTGGCGTTTAATTTATTTTTATTTGACCTTGACAAAAGGTTAATTGGCTGTCGGACCTTGGAGTTCAGTTAATAACGTGTTTCATTTATTATCTGTTTCATTTGTTAATAGTGAAAGATGTACCGCTTTGGCCATCTTAACTTTATCGGCCGTCATGCATTGCTCATCCCAGCGTGTACATGGGACAAATTACTTTTTCTGCAGCCATGGCTATAATGAACATATAATGCAAATGCGTCAGTTGGTAACGACATTCTCGGTATTCGCTTAACTATAAAAACATCCTCCAGACTCACGAATCAGAAAAAAAAGTTGAAATCTATTTCGTCTTTCTATGACTTGGCTAGAACTTCTAGAAAGAAGACAGAACTTCTAGTTAGAATTCCAGGGATTCAAACGTACAAGCTGCAGCATAATGACCACGCGGTCGAACGCATCTGGCCAGAGTGGTGCCTCACTTTTCGCCGTATATAAAGTTTATAAAATTCTTTAAAACCACATGACATATTTATTCAATCACGTGACATGTTTCACGCATGCGTAATAACATGAATTACTTTACAAGCCTGAAACATTTTACCATCTGTGAAAAATTATTGTATATACATGTAGTTGATGGCATTTTATGTACATTTATATCACAAACAGCGCACCTAGTGTCACGTGGTGCCCCCCTTTCCTTTTTTCTATTTAAAGTAATGGTCATCCCCAACCCCTGCCCGCCCACATTGCATGAAGTTTGCATAATACCAACTTCACTCATACTTTATTGTTCTTCACTTTACGCCTCCTCAGGAGATCGGGTGATGTGTTTGGGTGGACCTTCTAGCAACTTATGCGGACAGGATGGCTTGCCTCGCAAAAACGAAGCCACGGAGCGTCTGGTTGTCACCAATGTCTACTTCGGTCCACGAGCCGTTGACCGTGGAGCAACAGCAACCAGGTCAGAGTGGCGTCGCAATCGCTACACCTGGGATGGGTCTTTCTATTACCTCCTGGCAAAGTAATCAGCCCCTTTGAGGGCACAATTTGGAGTTGGTTATTAAAACAGAAAAGCCTTAAATTATTACGAGCCTAAATAGGGTACCATACAACAATATATCATGTATATGATTAAACAAACTCAGTAAGGTAATGCAGATAAGTATTTTACCAAGAGCAGTTTGTTATACATGAACATTTTAGTTTTAGTTTTAAATATATTAGTGTTGTTGAGTTTCTGATGTCATTGGGAAGTTTGTTCCAGTTGATTGCGCCAGTATATCGAATTGTGTGTTGAAAAAGTAGTGTCTTGTGTTTTGGAAGATGAAAGTTAGTAGAAATTCTTGTGTTGTAGTTATGGATGTTGTAATTAAATTGAAAGAGTGTTTGGAAGTGAGCAGGGAGTTGTTTGTTGTAGCATTTGTACATAAAGATGTTCTGATGATATATATTAATGTGTCTATGTTTGAGTAGATTGAGTTGTTTGAACAGAGGATCCGTGTGAGCAATTAAATGAGATTTGGAGACTGAGCGAATGGCGTTTCTTTTTGAAGAATGAACACCTTGTTAATGTGTGCATGACATGTGTTTCCCCGGACTATTTAATCGCAATAATTTAGGTAGGGGAGAATGAGAGAGCGATAGAGTGTACAGAGAATTCTCGTTGGAAAAATGTGCTTGAGTCTATGAATAATTCCAATGGATTTTGAAATCTTACTAGGAATATCATTGATGTGATGAGTCGAAGTCAACTTGCTGTCAAGTAGCACACAAAGGAACTTAGTTTTGTCACCACGTTGAATGGGTTCGTTTAACAACTGAATAGTAAGATTGGAAATATTGCAGAGTTTTCTTTTTACTGGGAAAATCATAATATTACATTTTTAATCTTCAGAGAGAGTCGGTTGGCTTTCAGCTACTCACAAACATTAACCAGATGCTGATTTGGCATTATCAAATAAAGTAGGGAGGTGCTTATCAAAAAGATTTTTTTTTTAGGGTCATCTGCATAAAGAATAAATGAAAGCAAATCAGAAGTAGCTGAAATATCACTGATACAATGTAACGGGCCCAGGAGTGAGCCCTGGGGTACACCATGAGTAACCGTATTAAAATCAGAAATATAATAATTATCATCTTCTGTCAAATAGAAGATTGACCAATAAATTGAGTAGAGCAGATTTGGATTGGACCTCTACTAACTGACCAATAAGTTGACGCACCCGCCTTGGCAATAAAGCCTTTGCTCATGGAGAAATAGACAGGGGGTTGGTGATAAAACTATTTTGTGAATAAGAATAGAGGTTTCAGCGCAAATAGAATAGAATGATGATGATGAAGTGTTATATTCAGAATATCATGTTTCATGATTAAATCAATAATTTCAAAGATTGTTTTGTTCACTCATTAAAATAATAAATACCTAATACCAAATGGTACTTAAAACAGAGCTACGGCGTTGGCTTAACTGGGCATTGTTTTGGTTATGCCCATTGCAAAGAAAAATTTGCACGATTTTTACAACTGGATTGCTAGTTTGCGGTGAAAAACACAATCTTTGGAATGGTTAATTATTTATGGACTACATGATGTACCATGTTATTTAACCAACATCTCTAACATAACCCTTTTAGCGCACTTTCCACGGTGACAGCGCATTCTTTGTCGTACAGTTTAAATTGCCACTTATTCAACAAACTTGGAAAAAGAGGTTTTTGAATTTTGTTTTGAATTCAACATTGCTTGGTCATCTTTAACTGAAGAGATGCAAATATGATATAATGAGCCACATTGACCTTTTTCAAGTTTCATAAATTTTACATAATTATCAGCCCATTGTGTTTTGGATTACTTTTTTTGAAGCACAAGTACATATTAACCCTTCTTGTAGTTAAGGGTTTGCACTTTCTGTCAATTATTGTAAGTACATTGTAATTAGTTTGTGTGCCATTGGAGAACCTAAATGTATAAGTACACAGAACAATATTTAAAGTTGTTATAGTTATTATTATTTGTTTACATCCTTTTACATCCAAATGTCACTGAACTTTTATATTCAAGCCACGCTTTTCTTTTGCTCTCATGCTTTCATGTATTATAATAATACCGTCTTAGACCAGTCAGCTTGTATATACACGTTAACAATTCTCGAGTTAATCAAACTATAACTCAAAATTATTATTTAAGTTTCATGCTCGCCTTAGTTTGAAGAGTCTGTTTTTATTTAACAAAAAACAATTACTAAATTAGGCCTACTCATCATTAAATACATTATACATCACCGGGTAGCTTGTTTCAAACAAAAAAGAACGTTTGTTGTAAAAAAAAAATGGAAGAATGAAAACCCGCTAAATTCCATGCCGGTGGTTCGTAATGTTCTCTAGCTATACCATATCCGCACTCACTCGTGACCGCTACAGTGATCAAGGGAAGCGCCCTCGGCTGAGGTTATTTGGATCAATGTGTATACGAAAGTCCGTTCGTGCCAGGTTTAAAACAGCCTTAATCTTGTTTTGAAACTGTGAAAACTAAAAAGATTATCGTTTCCAACTTGCTCTGGCAGTGAACTCCATGTGCGCGAAATCTAAGAAAAAGTGAGTGTTTCAAAGCATCGATTCTGGCAAATGGATGATTAAAATGAAGAGTGTCACTTCTACGACTGTTGATAGATAAAAAATTATTGAAGAGTCTGTCCATCATTGCGCTTTTGTCCATTGTGCTCAGGTAACTTTTGCACGCATGGTTTTGATTGAAGGGGGTGGGGGGGGGGGGGCTGAAAACAAGGTATTTTTATCTTGTCAATTTTAAAGGATCTGATCTTCAGAAAACGTTGACCTTTAGAGGAAATTTCTTTGGCATTTTCTCGGGGGGGGGGGTGGTGGGGGCTAAAGGATGTTAACGGATTTAATATACTTTCAACGGCCTCAGTATTGAATCACGCGTGTCCTGTGTTTTAAAAACACAACAGACACAAAATGGGCGTAAAGCAATAACGCGCGCAGACCGAAAGGAATAAATGATTCCCGGCAACAAAGTGCTGCAGATAATGAGCAGTTTAACCAAATTAAAAAAAAAATCCTCTGACAGTAGAATGTGAAATATCACTTGTCTAAAGCAGGGGCGGCAGAACGCTTTTCAAACTGGTGGGGGGGGGGGAGGAGGCAAACGTTCAGAAAAAGTGGCACCTTGCGTCGGTGTGAATGTGGTGGAAAATATGGTCCCGTTCATTTCGCTGTAAATCTATTATGACGAGGAACAAATTATTATTACGTTGTCCATCTTGCTCTTTGTGTTTCATTCACCTAAATGTGTAGAGGCATTTTTTTTTTATCGCGAAAGGGGCACTGCTGCTTTTGATGGCCAGTTCAGTGACTATTTTACTCGCTTGAAGAGCACTATTATTTTAATTGGCCAGCTTTCCATCTTGAGAGGGGCCACAATTTTAATGTTGCGAGGGGACACTAATTGTGCTTTCGAGGGGCAGTGTTCCATCTCGAGAAGTTATTGCGAGAGGAGCACTTCTATTGTTTTTATGGTAAATTTTCCATCTTGGACGAAATGGAATGCTAGATTAGGTGAATTTGATTTTTTTTTTTAAATAGCCGGCAAAACCTATAGTAATTATAATAATCTATAATGTCCGCCTGTCACCAACACTCGGACACAGAGGCGCAGCCAGCGAGGAAAGGGGTACATGTATTTGCACACTATTGTGCTATAGTGTGCATGATCGTCGGATTTGAACAGCGCCCTCATTGGAAGATGATACCACGACATGACGGGCATACGTTATATGCCCAGTCAGTATAAAGATCAGTGATCAATTCAGTCTTTGGAATGTCGGCAGCGCTACCCAGGAAATTCCAAGCACATCTCACGCGCATGCATTAGTTTGAATACAGCACGCGTGAGGTATGCTCAGAATTTCCTGGGTAGCGCTGCATGTAGAAGTTCCAAACACCGGATATGATCACGGGCTGTATTATTAATGGTCAGTAATATCCAAATCCAGTCTTCGGACACGCTAGGCAAGGGAGAACCCCAACTGAATGCTCACTTGAAATTCAACAATTATTCCTTCGGGGAAAAATGTGTGCGATTAATCTGAGGTCTACAGTGAAACTAGTTCTTGATCCTTCCATCAATGTCGGGGAACTTTTTGAGCGGAAATTTTCCTTTGGGGCATATTTAACATAATATCCTATTTTTATGAACGGCTATTGCGCACTGTTTGGTGGGTATTATCTTGATCAGTTGTGGTACAGGGGAGAAAAAGGCAAACTGTTGACTAATTGTTGAATTCTCAATGAGCATTTCAGCTTGGGTTTTGTGAGATATTGAGTGGGTTCTGACATATAATTTGGAACGATCTCACCTGGTTTATTCAGCCATGTTGGAAGCCTGGTTTTTAACATGTGTAACACCCGAGGGCGCACTTTAAGTACACTGTACGTGAATCACTATGGGTGCATGCAGACCAGTAAATCGGTCCAAAATTGCCTACGCCGTCCCAATCACAATTTGCATGTCCTCAGAATCTTCATTATTTGAGCATAGTGTGGGCCATGAACTAGAGGGTTTGTAAAAAAAATATGGGTGGAAGCCGTGCACAGGACTGTGAGCTCGTAGTTCCGTTTAATTTGGATGAAATTGGGGCCTTAATAGCGCTCTTTCTTGTACTGGAGTGTATGCATCGTTTTTTCAAAATGGTGATGGGCTTCAGGACTAATTTAAAGCGTGATTTTCTTCAGATGGAAATTTCTCCTAAAAGTCATCAGTTGACCCCCGTAAATTGAAAAGAAAATGAAGGATGATGAAATAAGCTTTAATATGATGTGTGTCTCGAACACCCTGGAGAGTTAAGAGTATTTTGCCCGAATTCCTGAAGTGGGAACATTTATCATTGTGGTCAATGGAAGTTTATTTACTGGTCTGCAACCTGTAATTTCAAAATGGCGTCTTCCAAGTTTGTTGTCCAAATAGCGGTGCGCATGCGCTTTATATTCCGCGACAGTGGTTTTTCAGG